AGTAAATAGCAGTTTTGTATGGAAACCCTGTGTAAATGTCTATGAATTAGGTATTCTTTGAATGAGGAGAGAAAGCGCTTTCTGTTACACTATAATGTATGGCAAACCATCCCCAATCTCCATATCCTAAACAATAAAAGTTGATTATTTCTCATGAATCTAAGGGCCAGCTGGGCAGTTCTGATGTGGCCAGGCTTAGCTGATTCTGGCTGGACTGACTCATGCATCTGCAATCATTTGGCATTTGGCCTGGGTCTGGCTGGTTAGGAGGCCCTTGGCTGGGTCAGCTCAGCTCTCCTCCATGTGTCTCCCCCAGCCCTCTAGCAGGCTGGCTCATGTGTATTCCCATGGTGGTAGCAGGGGCTCGAGAGGAAGTGGAAACATGCAAGTGTGTGTGCAGGCCTCTGCTTGCTTCAAGCCTGCCACTGCCTGCTTCACCAGAGCAAATTGCATGGCTAAGTCCAGAGTTACTATGTGAGAAATAGAGGCAGGGGAATAGGAACATTGGGATCATTACTGCAGTCAGTCCACCACGAACACATCCTCTGTGCTAAAGTCTGTTCTAGACCTTGTGTTACTCTGCAGATGTTACTTACCAGGGAATTTGCTTCCAGCTGGCTGGATGCTCTGTGCTGATAATGAGCAAACTTATCTGAGCAGTCTAAACATATTAACTTATTTCAGTTTTGTGTGTTCATTTTTGTCCAAGTATTGAAATAACATTTATCATTTGGGAGGCTGAAGAAATTGAAGAGTCACTTGTTTAGTGATATCCATGTCGTGATATTAAACTCCTTTACATATTCTAGTCACTTAGACTTTTTGACTTAAAAGCATGGTGTCCGCAACAAGAAGAAAACATCTTGGAGAAGTTTAAAAATATTTTTGAAAGGTCAATTATTTGATCTCTCCAACTAAGCATTTGATGAGCTAGATTTCTCATACTAATGCAAAAGTTCAAACTGGGAGAAATTTCAGTCCATCTGTGAAAAGCAAACAAACAGATTTTATTTAGTGAGGCCTTAGAAACAGAGCTACTCCTTTACTTTTAACTAGTGGCCTTGGGAATAGGAAACATTAAATAACAGTTCATAAAATGTGCTCTTTTGGGTCTTTGTCCAGAAGTGACTAAACATCCAAAATTCAAACCTGTTGTTGTTTTCACAAGATTCGTATGATCACTGTTTGCTTCATTTTCATCATCCTCATCATTGGTGAGAATGGGAAAGGGAGCTGGAGAGGCCAGTAGTAGAAGGGCAGTGGACAAAGAAAAGATTGAGACAAGTGGACAAATGGAGAAATGTTCCAAAGGAGTCCCTGAAGTGGAAAAGTGGGTGGCCAGGACAGAAAATCCATCTGCAGAACCAACTTCTGAGCAAGAGGTTGGACCAGCAGAGTCCACCGCCCAGATGTACCCCAAAAGGAAGGTCAGTGTGGCATGAAGGATCACATAAGTTCCCTCGACTTCAATGTCACTCTATATCTTAGTTTTTCTGCCAAGTTTGCCCACAGGTCACCTGCTTCCAGCACTTGGTGGAAGGGCTTGTTGCAGTTCTGTAAAACGAGTGCGAGTGGGGCAGGGAACTGGTTAATGGAGCAGCTGCCTGAGGAAAGATGTCACCATCAAATTTTTTAAAGGGATATAAGTTAATCTCAAGAAAATGATTTTTTTTCACAATTTAAGGTACTGATTTTAAAAATAGGAGACTGTCGAAATGGATTACTCTATGGACGTAAACTCATCCGTGTGTTGGCTGCTCTCAGAAAAATAATCCAAAGTCGTCTTCTAGCATAGTGTCATGGCGGAGCACTGGTGGAGCGGTCTGGGTTCTAGCCCTGCTCTGCCCTTTGCGTCATGTGTGCATCTGTCTCTCCAGCTGTACAGCAAAGGCTGTGGATTGGACGGTCTCCTGGGACCGTGTGGACTCCAGTACACTGACATGTTCTTTGGGTCTCTGAGGTTGTGGAAGGGATTTGAAGGTCTCCTGGGACCGTGTCGACTCCAGTACACTGACGTGTTCTTTGGGTCTCTGGGGTTGTGGTAGATCCTCACCTCAGTAACGCTGTAACTTTGATCTGTTCTAGAGTTAGATGAGTGAGGTGAGGGAACTGTTACATGGAGGCACACTGGGTATAGATTGGTGGTGGAAGGTCCAAAGAGGTTCCATACAAGTGAGTGTAAACCATCAGTTACTTCTGCTTTTGCCACCAGATGGTGATCAGACATTTGAAAGACTTAAGGATTGACTTCACTAAGACCCCAAGATTGGCTGTCTTAAGAAATGAAGAAACTTTAAGTTAATCCTGTAACTCATTACGTAGTATGTCTTAAGCCCTGTCAAATGAATCAGCAATAATTTAAGCGGTGAAAAGGTAGAGTTACCTATAGATTGTACCTTAGGTATCGCTATCCGTGGTATAGTTGATAGTGAGGTGTAGTTACGGAAGGTTAGGAATCTTTTCTCAAATAGGGGGATATGATCAGAGTCTATGAAATCATGAGGATAAAGTAAGCAACAGAGACAAAAGCCGGTATACCCAAATTAAGGACCATTCTTTTAAACCTGGAAATTGGTTAAGATGAACATAAAGATGTAAAAACAGTATTTATTAACACAAGAGGTGCTGCCATGTAGAAATGTAAAAGTTTTTGGTTCAACAAATGAGAGTAAACCTATGCATGAAAGGTGGATCAGTGAACATTAGAGAAATGAGAAGTGCTTAGGGAATATCTCTGAACTGTGGATGTGACATCAAAGGAGACACCTGCGCCTTTCTTCTACATTAGGGGTTGGCAAACTTTTTCTGTAAAGGGTCAGATAGCAAATATTTTAGCTTGCAGGCCATGTGGTTTGTGTCTATTCAACCTACCATCGTAGTGTGAAGTAGCCATATGCACTATGTAAACATATGGATGTGATTGTGTTCCAATAAAACTTTATTTACAAACACAGGCACTGGGCAAGATTTGGCCTGTGTGCCATGGTATGCCAACCTGTTTGTGGGTGAAAGCCAGGGTCCCTAAGTATTTCTCCTTTCTAGGCCTCGGTCTCTGGCTCCTGTCAAATAAGGAGTTGGTTTAGATGATCTCTGACATTTTTCAGGTTTGTGTCTTTCAGTACTTCTCTCTGAAGCCAAGTGATCCAGAAGGCTGACCCAGAGATATTTCTTTTATTTCTAAGGTCAAATTTTGTAAAAATCCAGCTTGAACAGATTCGTAAGTCTCTAGGACAGGGTTTCTCAACCTTGGCACTATTGACATTTGGAGCTGAGTAATCTTTTGTTGTGGGGGAGCTGTTCTGTGCATTGTAGCATGTCGAGCAGCGTCTCTGAACTCTACCTGCTATATCCCAGTGGCACATACACTCCCCTCTGCACCCAGTTGTGACAATGAAAAATGTCTCCAGACGTTGCCAAAGCACAGTCACCCCAGGTGAGAACTACTTCTCTAGAGACTTCGAGATAGTAGAAGAATACCAAAAGTGGAAGTCAGACCATGCAACCCAGAACAGCCACCAAGATAACAAAAACACTTCTTCATGTACAAGGTTAAAAAAGCCAAAACCAAAGGAACACCAGCTTATTAGAGAAGGGCCATGAGAGCTGGAAAGTTGGTAGCAGATTGCTTTTTAATACTGATTTATATCATTTTATGGAAAGTGTTCCTGAAACCATTGAATCAGAATAGAGGGCTGGCTACAACTGGTAGCAGAAAAGTCAGAAACAAAGAAGCATGGGTGAAGAGAGAGCACTGTCAAAGAACACCAGGAGTATTTCCTTTTCACGACTTTTATGTTGTTCGATGAGATCTCTAGCAGAAAGAATTCACTGGGTGAATTCATTAGCCCTCATCTCTGACGCCTGGGGTTTTTGTTTTGTTTTATTTTGCTTTAAATGGATAAATCAAGTGTGGTTTATTCCTACAGTAGAATATTATTTACGGAGAAAATGAATGCAGAACAGCTTCACACCACTACGGAGAGGGACACTTCAAGTATCCCTGGGTTTTAACTGTCAGTAAAGCTGGTCCTTTAACAAATCCAGATCACGTGGCTGGCTTGTGCGTTAGCTGTAATTAAAAGCCAGAATCATCTGTATTCAACAAGAAGGGTGCACTTGATTTCCATCTACCTTTCGTTTATGCCCATAGTATTTCTTTGAAGAATTCATTCTCTTCCAGTTGTGAGTGATATTAATCATTGTTGACAAGCCCTGAATATCCAAATGGGTTTGTACAGTGAATTGTTTTTGTCTTGTTTTGCTTCTTATTTTCCTACAAAGACTTTAACACAGTATGATGTTTTCTGAACAGTGATCTCAGAGCTCTAGAAACACTAATTCTATCTCAGTCTCTGCTTTTGGCTTGCTCTGTGACCTGGGGCAGTCTCTCCTCTGTTGAGGAAACAGTGTCTTCATCTGTCAAATGGTAGAGACGTTCCCCATCTCTGGCCCCAGGGTGGCTACGTAAGAGTTATCTTTGGGGCCTTGCTTAAAATGCAGACTTCCGTGCTTCACCGTGAACCCAGGTTCTGATCCTGTGCTCTCGGGTAAGGCGTGGGAAGCCCGAGGGATTCTAGTGCGAGGCCGTGTGTGAGAACGGTTAGAGATGGCCTCCAAGGTCCTTTCAGCTCTAAAATGCAGTGTTTCTATGAAATATATGTCTCTCTAAATGTCCTGTATTATATACTACAAGAAGTCATGAACTGATACGTTGTAAGTTCCTCCACATACACACATTGGTACTGCTTTACGTAAACTTGGTTTGCTGTGATGTGGTCAGCTTATGGCTCAAGAGATAATCTTGATCCCCACTACATGCTGGAAGATGATTTCCCTTTTCACCAGGATGCCATCTCGTAGCTTCTTTGTTTTCAGTCTTGGGTTTAGAGAAGCCTTAAAGAGTTTGATATCCTGATTTCCATATAACAATAAAGTGGAATAAAATTAGAAATTCTGTGTGGTTGTTAATTTCTGTTTGTTTGTTTTTCTTTAATTTACAGAATGCTCTTTTCAGTTGCATTAGCAGAAATGAAAGTAAGTATATTGTCGATGGTTATGTAACCAGTCCAAAGAGCAAAGCACAGTTTACAGAATGGGATTTAGCTGTCTAAATATTGCCAAGACCCTGGCAGTAGAACTGAGGTTGTCAGTAAGCCATCTGAAGTATTGTACACGGCGGGATTCCGATAGGCTCCTTCCTCTGGAGTGTTCAGGCCATTCTTGAATTACACCGGTTTCCGTGTCCTAGTTGCAGATTTGCAAAGCAGAGACTAGTGCTGGGTGTGCTAGAGGAAGATCACGCCCCGCGTGAATAATGGCATCACTTTCAGAAGGGAAGCACTCCCCCGTGATGCAATGCAGCACTTGCTCAGGGCCGCCTCTCAGTTCATTCAGCAGACGTTCATTCACTGCTTGCTCCGTGCAGGGCAGACGCACATCTGTGGGGGACACAACCTGTGCACAAAGAACACTGGGACATGGTGGATATGGGATAGGGTCACTGATAAAGTGCTGTGGGAGTTCAGAGGAAGTAGGGATCACATCCTGCAGGGGTGCTTAGAGGTGACTTTGTGGACTTGGTAGCTGAACTGGGCCTCGAAGGATGGACAAGATGTGAACAGTGGAGGCTGGAGGAAGGACATTCCAGGTGAAGGGAATAGCGAGAGCGGTTAGCGATGGGGAAACGCATCTGAGCAACAGAGTTGTTTAGATTAGCTTGGCAGTGGGGTGTATCAAAGGATAGTAAGAAAGACTGGCTGTCTATACTTTCTCTTCTACCCTTTCTAACTGGGGCTGAGTTCAAGATATCCCAGATAGTCTCTGGCATGTAATCTTAGGTCCCCCCACACTGGTAAAGAAGCCAGCGTAATGGGGGAGTCAGAAGATCGGCATCCTTGTCCTTTTCTCACTTGTCTCTCTTCTGTCTTCAGTATCCCCTCCCCACTCCCAGTTTATCCTCGTTGAGGTTGACAGTGATAAATGTAGCCATTAATAATTGTTCTTTGTGATGAAAATGAAGAATTCAGCAATGAACACAGTAAGTTTGGAAGTAATTACAAGTCAAAAACTTAGGTGGCACAATAGGTATGAAATAATTTTCTAGTCCAGGAAACTGAGGCTTGTGCTGCGTCAGTTCAGTCCTAGTTTAGTTAATTTGTATATGATTTTATCATTATCATTATTTCTGGAAGCTGCCTGAATTCCCTGATCATTCCTGGTCTGTGAAATTCACCAGAAACCTGGTTTTGGTTCGTGCACAACCATCGCTAATAATTATCAGAGATTTCCTACCTGCCTTTCTCTTAACATTTCCCTGCCATACCTCTACCTTGGCTCCATTCAGCCTCCTGCAGGCTCCTCACCTTCTCCTGTGAGGGTCTCCTGCTCTTCTCCATTATAAATCCTCCATCTTCATCCCTAGCCACTCATCTAGCTCTGCCCAGATACCTTAAATGGTGCCCCTTGATTTATAAGAATACATAAGTCCAGAATCATATTTATTTCAAGTATGGGTTTTACTCTTCAGTACTGAAGCAGGTCTTATCAGTTTTAAGTGAAGACTTTCAATTTAGGCATATTCTTGGAGATATTCAAGCAGTATAGAACTTTTAGGATTTTGTTTCAAGATACATAGTTATATAATTGCTAAATTTATGAGATGATACTCATAGTTTTTATAAATGTGAGGCATGTGGGGTTTTGTTTTATTTTGGTTTTGTTTGTTTTGCTTTGCTTTGTTCATAAATTTCCATAAATCTAACGGAAAGAAGCTGTCCCAGTGGTTCTCAACATGGGCGCTATTGGCATTTTGGGAGACAGTTTTGGTTGTATGAAACTGGCCTGTACTTTGCAGAGTATTTAATAGCCCTGAGCCCCATGCGTTAAAAGCCAGCCGTAGTCCCCCCAAGTCATCATGAACACTGGAAACATTTCCACAGGCATTCAAATTCTCCCAGGGAGCACCCCTGCTGAGAACCCCTGGACTATAGACGATAAGTTGATGGATAGTGACTTTCCTATACCAGTGAGCACCTGAATGTCCCCATGGCTGGGCCTCCAGTAGTGCTGGTTTTAAGTTTTAAGACAGTAAAACATCTTAAGTTTTAAAACTTATTTTAAGACAGTGCTTGTCTTCTATGGCATGGTTTTATTTCTGAAATTCAAAAAGACACATTGTTCCAGCATTATGATGGTGATTTAATGTTAGCAAATAGCTGTTTGTATTTCAGTGTCATCTCCTTTTCTTCCCCCAGTGGGCTCAGTGTGTTGTAGTTATGCAGGCCATCACACAAACTGCCGAGAATACTGTCAAGCCATTTTTCGAACAGACTCTTCTCCTGGTCCATCTCAGATCAAAGCTGTGGAAAATTATTGTGCCTCTATTAGTCCACAATTAATACACTGTGTGAACAATTACACCCAATCTTATCCAATGAGGAACCCAACAGATAGTAAGTAAAAAGTTACATATTCCTCTCATTTTGATCTTTGGTAAAATAATTTGTTAGAAGGAAGTAAATTCTTGAAGATATCTGTAGTCTGGATCATTTGGGAAACACCAGACTTCTTTTGGTGTTTAGATTTAGCAGATTGGACATTACTGTCACAGCTAAAAGATGCCAAGAAAGATGGAACTGTCAAGGGTATGAAGAAACAGGCACTGGGGGAATTCGGTGGTGTGGGTATTCTGGGGGGGAGCTGGGTTTTGACCATGAGAATTTCAAATTAATCATACCTTTTAATCTAGCAATTCCATTTCTCAGAATTTGTCCTTCAAGAAAACTCACGAATTTGCAAAAATGTATCTGATTATAAAGGATGTTCACTACAACATTAGTGGTAATAGACAAAAATTAGAAATAACCCAAACATCCATCAATAGAGTATTGATTAAAATTGATTCAATAAATCATGTATCTGTATAATAACACTATACAACGAACATAAACAAGTATGCTTACATTGAAGTGCAAGATATAATAAGCAAAAAAACAAGTTGCAAAACTAAATGTATAATATGACATATTTATTTATTTATTTTTTTAAGATTTTATTTTTTTTCCTTTTTCTCCCCAAAGCCCCCCAGTACATAGTTGTGTATTCTTCGTTGTGGGTTCTTCTAGTTGTGGCATGTGGGACGCTGCACCTCAGCGTGGCTTGATGAGCAGTGCCATGTCCGCGCCCAGGATTCGAACCAACGAAACACTGGGCCGCCTACAGCAGAGCGCACGAACTTAACCACTCAGCCACGGGGCCAGCCCCTGACATATTTATTTTTATATACCTGTTTGTTCCACATTATATTTGTCTGTAATGTTTCAGTTTTTACCAATGAACAGTTATTACTCTCATAATAAAAATATCATCAAGCCAGCGCTGATGGCCTAGTGGTTAAAGTTTGGCATTCATCGCTTTGGCAGCCCGGATTCGCTTCCTGGTTGCAGAACCACACCACCTGTCTGTCGGTTGCCATGCTGTGGCAGTGGCTCATGGAAGAACTAAGCTAGGATATAGAACTATGTATAGGGACTTTGGGGAGGGGGGACAAAAAGGAAGATTGGCAGCAGATGTTATCTCAGCACGAATCTTTCTTTGCAAAAAAAAACAATCATAAAAATGAGAAGAGATCCTGGTAACTTTTTTTAATCAGGGCCTCCTAATGAAGCTGTACCTTTTGGAATTTTCATTGTCTCAGCTTTGTATATCGTATAATCCATTGTCTTCATTTAGAGATGATCAAACTTTAAAGAACTGACTAATTAACCAAACTGATAAAAGACTTATAAATATGCCAGATGCGAATGTTTTGATTTACGCTGGAATGTGAAAGACTTGCTTTGTAAACGCAAAAGCGGTGCTCTGGCCTTGTTTGGCCAGCGTCTAAAGCAGAACTCCGACTGGCGACATTCTGTGGTGTGGCTCTGTGCTGAAAATCAGAAGGTGAAGTGTTTGCCACAAATAGCCTTCATTCATTTTAAAGGCAGATCTGCCTTCACTGACGTTTAGGCTGTGGGGGTGCTGCTGGAGCTAAGGTGATAGCAGCTCCAAAAAGAGCAGAAAGATGTTTTATTGGGTTTTTTTGTGGAGGGTGGCTGAGGAAGATTGGCCCTGAGCTAACATCCGTGCCACTCTTTCTCTGTTTTGTATGTGGGATGCCACCACAGCGTGGCTTGATGAGCGGTCTGTTGGTCCATGTCTGGAATCCAAACCCATAATCCCCTGGCCCCTGATGTGGAGCTCACGGACTTAACCACTACACCACCGGGCTGGCCCCAGAAAGATGTTTTAAGGGTAGAAGAATGACCATCTCAAACGTCCGTGCTAGTCAGAGGACATCTGGAGAAGAACGCTACAAACAGATATACCTGAATAGGTTTCTTAGCAAGTCAAGACACTTGAGAAAACTACTTCAAAGAAACCTTTCTGAATTCTGTAGTATGGTTCAGATTGTTCTTTTACTTTCTGATTCTTCGTAGAAAATCAAGGGCTGAAGAAAACTGATATCTTGTCACAGTTTGCGACGTATTATTTAAATTATAACAGATTAATTAACTTGCACAGATTTATAAAAGCTTTATATCCCAGAGTGTGATGAAATACAGTGTTTGTGGTTGTTGCTATTAAAATGTCATATCTCGCATTATGTCAAGAACATAATCCATTTTAGGCAGTTGTTTCTAGCATGAAATAGTTCCAGTTTGATCTACAGCACCTTTTCCAGGAACATGAAGTACCTCACATGTAAGGACTTGTTGGTGTAGGATGACCTTTCGTTTGTGTAGGAATGGTGCTAGAGGTCCCATGATTGGGGACAGTAGTGAATTCTGGTAACAGACACCTCTTTCACCTTTAGCTTTTCACTTATCTGCTGCACTGCAAAGTAATGGAGGGAGAATTTGGTAGGCCCTGTGTCCTATAGATATTGACATATGGCTCAAAGTAGCAATGGTTTCCAGTACACTGCAATGTTCTTCTGTTCTGAGCAATGTATGACATAAACCAGCTAATTTAGCCACTTATATTCTGAAAATGTAGGTTTATATTGCTGTGACAGAGCTGAAGACCATGCTTGCCAAAACGCCTGCAAGAGAATTCTGATGTCTAAGAAAACAGAAATGGAGATTGTGGACGGCCTCATCGAGGGTTGTAAGACCCAGCCCTTGCCTCAGGATCCTCTCTGGCAGTGTTTTCTCGAAAGCTCACAGTCTGTTCACCCTGGAGTCACTCTACACCCTCCTCCCTCTACGGGCCTCGATGGGGCTAAATTGCATTGTTGTTCTAAAGCAAATACTTCAACATGTAGGTCAGTATCTCAGTTTCCTTTATTAAAATCAGTAGAAAATAGCATTTTAATCAATGATTTTAGGTCTGGCAAATATGTATTATGTTCTTGCATTGTGGAGACTTAGGAGTTTAGAAGACATAAAATCTTTCATTCTTTCTTCCAGCAAATATTTATTGAGCATCACGTGTCCATAAAACATTGTTTTTGTACATCGAGTGCTAAAAACATCATGTTTCGTAGTGTGGAAGATTAGTATTGGCAGGGCAATAAATATTTAAAGATGATGCAATGTGGATTCTACCCTCAAGGTTATCATTAAGTAAGCCTACAATTTAGAAGATGTTTTGACCTGACATCTAGGGGATATTATCTTTGTTAAATTATGTGACATTGAACTTAACCAACCTTTTGTGTAGATTGGTGCTTAACCTGGGTTGACAGTGGCTCCCAAAGTTAGATAGCAGTGTATTGGCATTCCCTTGAGTGATACCCTTAGGGATAAAAAATTAACAGTAAAAATATAGGATGAAGTAAACGCAATCTAGAGACAAGAGTAAATGGAGATCAAGTCACGATAGAACACAGGTGAAAGAGAAATTTGCTTTATTAGGAATGTTTGGAGTTAAAAGGGACCACATATTACTAGGATATCCTGAAATGAATATGACATACCAGGAGTAAAACAGTCTTTCCTGTGGTTTCTGAATTGGATGGACCTTTAGCAAAAAATTCTGCCTAGAATAGCTCATCAAACTTTACCAAAGATGTGAAAAATCTGGAAAATATCCAAAGAAAATTAAGAGAATGGCTTAAAGAGAAGTTAAGTTGGTGCTATAATTAAGGAAATTGGGTTGCTGATAGGAATTAGTAAATGTCTTTATGGGAGGGGTGCTGAGCAATTCTTTGAACGTCCACAAAAAAATTTATGCCCTGTACTCACTGGAGCTTGGAATGGCTGTGTCATCCCAGAAGAACTTCAGTAAAAAACAGTTGGCCCTCTCTTCCCCTGATGTAAGGTTTTGTGGTTTACGGAATACTTTCACTTCCATCTTACCTTGTCCTCATGAAACCTTATAAGATGATTGGTATCGTCTTATGATTAGTCTCAATTTGTGTAATTCCTGTTTATATATAGAAAACTAACTCTGAGATGTTAAACAGTCTGTGCCAGGTCATACAGAGAGTTAGGACTAGAGGAAGGGCTGGTTTCCAGATCAGGGTGTCTGAAGTAACTTGATCTCAGCTTCCTCATCCCCGTGTTGTGTGAGTTCCATTGAGAGCAGGGACCTTGTTTCTTTTATGTGCCACTGCATATCCAGTGCCTCCAACAGGGCCTCACACAAAATAGACACTCAGTAAGCCCTGGTGGAGTGATGAACAAACATAAAAGGACAGATACCCTCTCACTGGGGTAATTGTGAGAGTGAAATAAAATGTGACAGGAGTGGAGGAGTGATTTTGTATATTTTGGTAGTATTAAAATTTTGTGTTACATGTATTACATTTATAAATTTAAAAAATTAAACTGATGAATAATATCATGTGTGAAAACCTTTGGAAATGGTACTGATAATATTTTAGCTATACGCATGCACTTGAGTTGCTTTGTATTCATCAAGTACTGAAAAGAATACGTACATAATACAGTAATATATAGAAGCTTTGGAATTCATAAGCCTTTCCATGTATACAGTCTTGGTATATCTTAAGGAATATATGTGGCTTTAGGGTAGTTTTTCAGGGAGAAACTAGTGAACTGTAAGTCTATAATGCTGCTTAAAAGAAGTCTGAGGACCATGTCACGGTTTGGCCTCTTGTGATGGGAACATAAATATAGTGGAATATATGTGGGTGGAGGCAAAACTGTTTGCTTTACCTTACTCTAAGTAAAGGTAAAAGAGAGATCAGAAATATAGAGGGAAGTAATTCTGCTAAAAATAAACATGTACAAATACTATAATTAAACATTAAATTTAGCGCTGAGCTTTCTAGCAACCATGGCAGAAGGGAAGGAGATGGAAAATAAGAGAAGGCTAACTTTTTCACGGAAAGCTCACACTTTCTGGCTCTAAATTGTAGGAGATAGATCTTTTGGTTTTTGTACTTTTTTTCTCATTTATATTCTAGTAGCCTTTTTTTTTTTTTTGGTGAGGAACGTTGTCCCTGAGCTAACCTCTTTGCCAATCTTCCTCTTTTTTGTATGTGGGACACTGCCACAGCGTGGCTTGATGAGTGGTGTGGAGGTCCACACCTGGGATCCAAACCCACGAACCCTGGGCCGCCAAAGCGGAGAGCGCAAATTTAACCACTACACCACTGAGCCCGCCCACTCATTTGTATTCTGAAGTACAGTTCATAGAGTTTGAGTTTTATGTGAATCAGTTATTTGTTCATTTGGCTCATCTGTGTTTCTGCATTTGTGCTTTTGTTTCAGGGAACTGTGCACTAAACTTTATAGCATGAGCTGGGGCAACACCCAGAGCTGGCAAGAGTTTGATCGCTTTTGTGAATATAATCCAGTGGAAGTGTCCATGTTGACCTGTTTAGCAGATGTTCGGGAACCTTGTCAGTTGGGCTGTAGAAACCTTACCTACTGTACTAATTTTAACAACAGGTAGGAGCAGATTATAATACATGGAGTGGAAATATTTTTATCATTAATTATCTGGTTTTTAAGTAAGTGAAAAGACGACTGCATTCTGATTTTGTTCCTGCTAAGTTAAAAGGAAGTAGTATTTCCTTATGATTTCATCTTTAGGTGGTACATTCCATCTGGTAAATTACCCTGGGAAAGGAAGCACTATAAGCAAGTCTTTTCTAATCTAGAAGTACTTCAAACTTCTAGAGTTCAGAATCTCCTCGGCCTTCAGTCTACTATTCTCCTTCTCTCTCTTCTGCTCCACCACCAGTGGAAACAGTTCGTCGCAGAATAAATCACTGGACAATCTGGTCATCCAGATGCCCTCTTGTGGACAGTTTACTTGAAGGACCTACAGACTGGCTGAGGTTCCCCCTCAGTGAGTCCCCTATTTCATACGAAAACATTTTCTTTACAGAAGCAATTTGAATAGGTATTTTCCTGCGGTATTCAGTAGGGTAAGGGAAATAAGGGCCAAGAACTGAGCTAATGGGTGAAGAAGCAGCGAAGAAGACAGAAAAAGGGCATCCAGAAGCATAGAGAGTGCCACGTCACAGAAGCCAGAGAGGGAGAGTTAGTAAAGAAGAGGGGGCTGGTTTTGTGAGCAGCAGCCCGGAGATCAAGAGGTCAAGAAGGAAGAGGATCATTCACTTGGGCCAGAAGGAAGTTCAGAGGATGTTTACCTCCAGTTAACACAGGTCCTATCCTCTTAAAAGTATTCAGGTTGTAATTTTGAGTAAAAATTGAGATATCTTTACAACTGATGATAGAGTGTTAGCCTTACTGGCATGGTGGAGTAGTTTGTATCAGACTAACACTTCTATCAATACCAATTTTGAACTCTGTACAAAATATTAAAAACGATTGTTTTGAAGGCATTGGAGAGTGACCAAAAGCAGGAGGGGCTTCATCTCGTGAAAGATGGAAATTGCACTGAGTGAGAGGCACACTTATTCAGCTTTTCCTTCGTGGGCACTCTCAGTCCACTTGTATGGCTTCTAGAACTCAAGCAAAAAGCAGCAGTCTTGGGCTGAGGAGTTAGAGATCAGAGTTGAGGCTGCCAGAATGGCTGGGTGTGGAAGGGGAAAATGCCAGAAAGGAGGGAACCACAAAAGGAGATGCTCCCAAATCTGCATACAACCTCCCCTTATATCCTTGAGTTTAACGAAGTCACGAGATACAAGGTTAACATACAAAAGCCAGTTGTATTTCTGTGTGTTAGCAAAAACAATTGGAAAATGAAATTTATAAAAAATAATCTACACATGCATCAAAAAACATGGAATACTTAGGGATAAACTTAACAAAAGATGTGCAGGAACTCTACACTAAAAAACCAGAAAACCTTGCAGAGAGAAGTTGAAGACAGCAGATAAATGGAACTTTCGTACATTGCTGGTGAGAACGTAAACTGGTATAACGGCTTTGGAAAACAGTTTGGCAGTTTCTTAGAAAGTTATGACCCAGCAGTGCTATTTGTAGCTGTGAAAACAGGCAAGAAAACTGGAAACAACCTTAGTGTCTATAAACAGGTGACTGAATAAGCCAGCCTTTCTCAGAGTGTGGTCCATGGTCCCCAAACCCTGTGACATCAAAACTACTTTTATAGTAACACTAAAATGTTATTTCCCTTTTTCACTCTCATTCTCACAAGAGTGAACAGTGGAGTTTTCCAGACATGGTATAACAACAGATTGAATGCAGGAGCAGGTATGAAGATCCCACTGTATTCTATGAAGATAGACATTAAAGAGATTTTCAAAACTGTAAAACAGTCCTACCCTTCTCACTGACTTTTGGAAAATAACAGTTATTTTTCATAAAAATATTTATATTAACTTGTAATCAGCTTATCATTTAAAATGAATTAATATCTACTTTAAAAATCCCTCAGTTTTGATTCATATGTGATAGACATTAGTGGATATAACCCACATAAACAAAAGTTTTTTGAGAAGCCAGGAATTTTAAGAGTGTAAATGGGTACTGAGATCAAAAAGTTTGAGAACTGCTAGGATAAACAAATTGTGGTACATTTATTAATGAAATACTTCTCTACAATAAAAAGGAACAAACAATTTATATACACACCATGGATGAATCTCAAAAAGATTGTTTAGCTAAAGACACCAGACCCGAAAGAGTATAATATACAATAGGGTTCCATTTGTATGAAGTTCTAGAACAGGAAAAGTTAATCTACAGTGATATAAGTGCGAATGGTGGTGGCCTCTAGGGTGCAGTCAGCAGGGAGGACATTGACTGGACGGGGACACAAGGACTTTCTGACGTGATGGAAATGCTCCTTAATTAATTTGGATGTCCATATTTGTCAAATCACATCAAACTGTACCCCAAAAATCTGCATTTTATTTTTATAAATTGTACCTCAATTTTAAAAACTTGGACTTATAATATTTATTTTGTCAAATGAAAGAAATGGTACCAGTGCAGATGATATTCCTGTCCACAGGGTTTTGAAGTTTTAAACTGCCTCACAAAAATCTCTGTAAAAAAGAAAACATGCAATCCGAATTTTATGGGTAGCATCTGCATTGAATCTTCATACATTCAAAGCCCATATCCTTTGATGTGTTGTATGTACTTTCTTCTTTAAAAAAATCAGATTTTCCTGATTCATTAGTATGTCAGGATTTAACACATTCTTCCTCTCTGGAAAATAATTGCCTCTTCATTCCTTCTGGGCTGTTTTCTGTTTAGGCCAACAGAACTTTTCAGGAGTTGTAATGCTCAGTCAGATCAAGGAGCCATGAATGACATGAAGCTGTGGGAAAAAGGAAGCATAAAGATGCCGTTTATCAACATTCCTGTTCTTGACATTAAAAAGTGCCAGCCAGAAATGTGGAAAGCAATAGCTTGTTCACTGCAGATTAAACCCTGTCACAGTAAATCCCGGGGAAGTATTATTTGCAAGTAAGTTTCTTTCATCATAGTGACTCTCCGGTTTTGGTTCAGACCCTCCATGATCTCCACCCACAGCCTACCTTCACAGTTTTCTCTCCCACCACTTCCCTTTGCCCACTGCCCCCACATGTCAAATTCTTTCCCACTTTTTCCTCCTCTGCTTGAAATGCTCTTCCCCCCTTCTCCACTTGCCCGCTGCCTGTCCTTCTTAGCCCTCTCAAATACCAGTCATTCCTACGGAATCTTCCCCGACTGCTCCAGCTGATGGTAATTTATCCTCACTACAAATTTCCATACACCTTTGTTTGTACTTCTCTTATGGAACTTAGTTCAAGAAACATTTATTGAGTACTTTCAATGCATAATTCTATTTTTATATTTTAATTTGTGTACTTGTCTCCTATTCTGTTAGACTTTGCTCTCCTTGAGGAGCGTATTCTTCTTTGTGCCTTTTTTCCTTGTGTCCTCCTTCCTCTTTTTCTCCTCTTCAGGGATTGGCATAATCCTGACACACAGAGGTATTCTGTAAGTGCTTGACGCGTGAAGGAGGTAGTGAATATAGTCCTTAGGGCCTGTTCCTGGCAATCATTTTGTGAGTGGTTTGCTTAGGAGGCCTAGGATAAAGTAAAGATGAAAGCTGCTATGGTGGGTGAAACCAAAAGCATTAACTACTTAGTAACCTATGTCAACTGCTCTTTAAGCATCTTTTTTTCCAGAATGCTTTTCCAAAACCAAGTTAATACCCAGCCCCTAAGTTGTTGGTGTGTGGCTTGGTGCTGCTGGGCACTCGACGACTAGTTGCAGTTTATTTCAACCTTAAATAGGCTCCACCTCTATTCTCTGACGTGACTTGGAGATGACCTGAGTAGGGGAGAGAGAAGGGGTAAATATTGGGTGACAAGCAAGGGGCAACGCATGGGAAATTAATAGACTCTTAGCTCACAGAACTTACAGAAGAGGAGTCAAAGCCCTACTGAAGACTGAGAAAATTTTAAAGTAGTGGACTTTCCGATTGTTTGGGCCACACACTTTAATGTTGATAACTAAAAAGATATTTAAAAAGAGAAAGGAAGGGTGGGAGGGAAGGAGGGAGAAGCAAGTATGGATAAGGTCCTGAAAGAAAGGAGATGTGATTTTGCAAACAGCAGATCAGACCAGCCTAGTTCAATTCCTTTCAAAGACAGTGAAGAGCCACCTTGATGGTAGCACCAGTAAGGATGGGTATAAAATGTGAGCAAGGCCTTTGGATCTCAGGTCAGAGAAAGTTAGGGATGTTTTGGTAACATAATACCTTACTGTTCAGCCTAAGGTCCCCTATGACTCCTGTTCTCTTTTGCCATCATTGCACTTAACCACTTGTGAAACATGGTTAAGTTATGAGAACTCACTTTCTGGAAAGTTCAGAAACAGAATTGTTGTTGACTAGACAACATGAGGAGGTGTCTCGAACCCTAAATTTGTGAGTATTTTTCTTTTCAAGATCAGATTGCGTGGAGATTCTCAAGAAATGTGGGGACCAGAACAAATTCCCCGAAGACCACACAGCTGAAAGTATCTGTGAGCTTCTGTCACCCACAGATGACCTGGAGAGTTGTATACCTTTGGATACCTACCTCAGTAAGGACTTTGTGTTTTTGGATTTTAAATGCCCCTCCCTTCCATCTCTGCCCTTCTTGTTTGCCTGGTTGAGCATCTCTCTTTGAGAACATGTGGTCTAAGGATACTGTCTCGATTGCACGCTCTTAGTTGCTTGGCTTTTTTGGCCCAGGAAAGAATTACCATCTTCAGATATGTAAGCAGGAGTGATTATCATATCAGTCTGAGGAGGCAGTCGACTGTTGTCAGTCAGGAATTCTAAGCAGTGTGCCAGGGCCAGCGTTCTCAGATAACCAGCTCATATCATTGCTGTCTCCTTGCCACGATTTGACCAGGAAGTAGAAGCTCCCCAGGGAGTCTTCAGCTTTTTGTCATCAGAACATCAGCGGACCTGAGCGAGGCATTGGCTTGGACTTACCACCAAGTAGGGAGTAAGGAATGATGGTCTGGGTTAGCACATGAACTGGAACTTCTCTCTGTCAAATACTCCTGCCAAGAGCTGGAAGAATAAGCTGGGATCTCACTGAGGCATCCTGAAGCTGAGCCTTCTGGCAGCGAGGTGGCTGTGTGGAAACCAGGGGGTAACAAGCAGAACCTCTACACACCACGCAGTTAGGCCAAGGGCAGTGACTAGGCTGCCACCACGGGCCATTAGTGCTGTGAGCAGGCTGGAAAGCCAGACGGTGAATTCAGCCCCTACTTGCTTTGTCTTCCTTTGTCAGATAGAGTTAAGTCAGACTGCAAATAACAGAACAACAGTTAGAAGTGAGAAAAAGCCCAGAACTAAATAGTCCAGGGCTGCTGTGGTGGCTCTGTCATCAGGAATCCGGGCTCCTTCTTTCTCCACGTCCTTGGTGCTGGGCTTCATCATCATCGCGGTTACCGCGTGTGCTTTATCATCACGGCATGGCTACTGGAATTCTAGCCACTGTATCCTAGTGTGAGGGAAAACCACCCTAGTTGGAAGGGACACTGGGAAAGATGATCTTTTTAGCTGTGGGCCCATTGCCACCCTAAGTAAAACTGGAGTTCTATTAGTAAGCAGGAAGGGAAGAGCAGATGCCAGATTTGCCGCTAGTAGTGTCTGCCGCATTTTCTCAAGACCAACAGACTATGTCCCTTAGCCTTTGTGACCAGTATGGAGAAAAAGAGAGCACGAGACTAGAATATAGACCTCTGACTTTGAGCAGACCACTTCTTTGAGCCTTAGCTTCCCTCTTTATAAAATGACTGGGCTGGATGAGATGACTTCCAAGAACCCCTATTCCTCTATTAGCCTTGGAGTCTGAGTCTGGCCTAAAACCAAGTAAGCAAAGCTAATGTATTCACAATCCTAGACTCTATCAGAGCCATCAAATATACGTGTGGAAGGAAACCACTTCAGTGGAAGAAAAACTAAAGAAATGCTTTTGTTTGAGTTTCAGTACGCTCTTTAGATATCACATGTGCTTTCTATTAAAGTGAGACCCATCCTTGGTCCTTATTTCACAAGTTGACAAATATAATCATGGGACAGGATCCATCTTACTGTAATAAATTATGATCATTTGTGGTAAAATTTGCTAAATTGGCCCTCTTACACAGAAGCACCCCTTTGACAATCCTTTCCAAAATATACCTGTCACTTTCTATCCCTGTATACTACTTATTAATTATCATTGTCTGACTTTTATTGTCCATTTCCCGACCAGAATGTAAACTCCGTGTTAGAGATTTGTCTGTTTTGTTCACTACTGTCTCTCCAGTACCTGGAACCTTGCCCAGCGTGTTGTAGGTTCCCAATAAATGAACAAGTGGGTGAATGTGTGTATGTTTATGCTAAATTCACAAATGATCAGAGAGTCGGAGTGTTTCCGTCTTACTAGAATCAGGCCTCGCTTTATGCTCATGAGCTCTCCATTTACTCCAGATGTGATTAATTCAGATGACTTACAGACCTCTGGTACTCTTTTGGGTTTGTTAAGCTGATCTGGTTTTGTTTTTTCAGGGCCAAGTACTTTAGGTACCATTGTGGAAGAGGTGACTCACCCCTGTAACCCAAGTCCCTGCCCCACCAATGAGCTCTGTGAGGTGAACCGGAAAGGGTGTCCGGCCGGAGATCCGTGCCTTCCATACTCTTGTGCTCAGGGTAAGAGGTAGATGGTGCGGGTGTGGGATGAGCACAGCTGTGTGCTGCTCATGTTTCTTTACGGGGGTGATCTTTGGAATGAGATTGCAAGGCACTTTATTTTCATGTATGCTTTCCTTTAATGTTTGAGGTTTTCCCAATAAGCATGTATTATTTATGTAAGCAGAAAAAGACAAAGACAAATGTAAGTTTCAGTAGTCATTTAGATTATAAACTAATATCAATCCCAAACCAGACTCTCTTAATGAGTTGCAGGGCTCTTGACAACAAAAGGAAAGAAAGCCTTGGGCCAGCTTTTTGTACTTTGTCTTCTGGGTTATAATGTTTGAGAAAATGTACTGCACATTGTTCTTGTTTTTTCTTTTCTTTCCTTTAGTATGTGGAGAAAGGGCCTGCTCAGCGGGGTGTGTAATTCTCTCCACGGAGATGAATGTTGTGTTGAAATTTTTTTATCCCATAGAATTTTTATAGTGTTTATCTCTTTGTAGGTCCCTTTAGAATATAGTTGTGACAAGATTTTGCTGCCTTTTAGCTATTTCCCAATTGAAAGTGTTTCTTTATCATGTTAGAATCAACATTTTAAAATATATGTGGAGTTAAAAGGAACAAAAGATTAAATTATAATGTCTCAAAGGATCATCTATAATATTTGTGTAATACCATATCAGCCATAGAGTCGTAATAAATCTTGTTAAAATTGAAAATGAATGGGTTTTTGTTAAGCCAAATCAAGTATTCAACTTTTCTTTGAATTTAAGGTATGTTTATATTCTGTCACTAGAAGTTTTCCTGACCGAGATTATTCTAAAAGTACAGTCAGTTTCTCTATACCATTTTAAAAATATCTGTAATTTTTAAATATCTTAAGTAAACCAGAAGAAAGAAAAAACCACATATCTTATAGCATTTTATACTGAACTGGAGCTAACTTTGGAGTACAGGTCCAGAATCACCACCATCTCGTAGAACATGGAATTTTCATTTCAGAGGATATGTTATTGACCACTGAACCAAAGCGACTCCTTAGTTAGGTGAAAATTCTGTTTCATAACCTCTAGTAGCCACACAGAACCTGTAAAACTTATGTGAGGTATATCTAATGTCGTAAAATAGTATCATGTCTCTCAGGTAATTTCTGTTTGTGCAGGTTGCAAATTGGGAGAAGCCTCTGATTTTATCGTGCGTCAAGGGACACTGATCCAGGTGCCATCATCTGCAGGGGAAGTTGGTTGCTATAAAATTTGCTCATGTGGACAAAGTGGACTCTTGGAAAACTGCATGGACATGCACTGCATAGACCTTCAGAAGTCTTGTATTGTCGGAGGGAAAAGAAAGAGTGAGTCTTGGCGAGGTTTCTTTGTTTTTTGTTTTTGATATGAGATTGATTATCCTAACTTTGTAATAAGAACATTGGATGGATTCTCACCAGAGAGTGAAGTCTACAACTCATACACTCAGGCAATGTTTTTCAAACTGTGGGACGCAGCCAGCTCTGGTCGTCTAGGGGTTAAGATTCAGCGTTTTCACCACCAGAGCCTGAGTCCATTTCCTGCTCTGGGAACCATGCCACCCGTCCGTCCATGGATTGTCATATTGTGGCAGGTCCATGTTGCTGTGATGCTGAAAGCCATCAGGATTTCAAATACCAGCAGGGTCACCCATGGTGGACAGGTTTCAGCAGAACTTCCAGACTAAGATAGATTAGGAAGAAGGACCTGGCCACCAAATTCCAAAATGATTGGCTGTGAAAACCCTCTGAATAGCAGTGGAGCCTTGTCTGATATAGTGCCAGAAGGGGAGAGGATAGTGCAAAAAAGACCGGGCAGAGTTCCACTCTGCTGTCCACAGGGGCGCTAGGAGTCTGAATCCACTCGAGGGCACTAACAACAATATGGCACCTAGCGTTTATTGAACATTTGCTGTGAGCCAAACTCTGTGCTAACCCTCTCTAGTCTTTTCTCATGTACGCTCTTAACAACCTATGAAGCTATCTCACACCTGAGGAAACTGAGGTTTAGAGAGTCTGGGCAACGTGTCCAAGTCCACACTTGATGTGGAGAGCTGACCCACCGCAGCCCCCAACCTTTTACAACTAGAGCCTTTGAAATGTGCAGAGGACGTCCTGGTTTGCCTAGGAACTGACATAATCAGGGCTTTAGAGGCCCTCCCATCCTCACTCTCTGGATGCTGACTCTGGCATCCCTGCTCCACGGAGTGGTCCCCACCTCTCCCTCTGTTTTAAAGAAGAGTGGTCTCTGTGGCCACAAAGGTCAGAAGCCAAAGGACGGAGGCTTTCTTCTCTGATGGCCAGAACCTTGACAGAGAAAGCTATTTCCTTGCCTGAGAATCAGAGACTGGGGAAAGCTGAGTAGTGAGGAGCTTCCGGGAAGGGTGGAAAGAGTACTAAGTTCCAGAAGGCTTGGGTTCCAGGCCCTGCTCTACTTTCTATTTCCAACTGGCTGTGTGATCTTGGGCAAGTCCCTTCTCTCGTCTGGGCCTCAGTTTCCCTCCTGTACAACGGGAGGATTCTTCTTGATGACCTAATAATAATAATCTCTTTCCTTCCCCCAGCCTGCCCTTATCCCTCCTTGCACCACCCCCTGCCCAACTGGCTCTGACATTCCAGAAGCAGCCTTGAACTGACCTTGAAAGTCTTAGGAGTCACAACCCCTCTCTGGGTTTCCTCCTGAGCTCTGGGCCCTGGGCACTAGGTCCTGATAGGGTATCTGGCCTTGGCAGGTTGGAGCCATCACAGGAGAGAAAGACCCTGAGCCTCTGAGGAAGGCCTCAGGGGGACCTGCATTGTGATGACCTCATCGACTCTATGCCATCATCTTCTCTCCCACCCTTCACTCCTGCCTGACCAGCTGCACTGCAAACAACCATCAGTCTCAATCCCAATGGCCTGAGGTGGTCTGTTCTTCAATGCCTGCTGCTGATCTTCTGTCTCAGCCAGTAAGAAGCACCATAAAATTGATACTCACTGAGAAAAACTGTGACAGCTTCATGCTATAGAAACCGAACTAACAGAGGAAACTCAAAGAGTTCTGGGACATGGCCCTGACTGTGAACCACCATGACTTCTTTGCACATCAAAACTTGTTGCCTGCTGTGTCTTCAATAGTGAAGAACGTCATCTCTGGCAATGATGTGAACACCAGCAGTGAGCTTTCTTTCGCCCTTGACCCCAACTACCTGAGTCCGGCCACAGTGGACCAGGTCCTGGACTACTTCTCCAGTGGCAAGGTGGTGATCTTGGAGCAGAACGTGGAGGAGCTCCTTCGTGGGGCCCACTATTTCAACACAGTGTGCCTTGAAATCCACTGCAGTGACTACCTGATTAAGACCTTCCGCCATGCCAGCTGCTTGCGCTACCTCGTCTTGGCTGAGTTGTTTGGGCTCAAAGAGGTATCAAACTTGGCCTTTACTGGTATTTGCAACAACTTCCACTGCTGGGCCAGTCCTGAGAGCTTCATGCGCTGCCGACTTGTCATCTTTGGCACTTGCTTAAAGATGAAAACTTGCGTGTGCTCATTGAGGACCAGGCTCTCAGTGCACTCCTACATTGGGTGTACTTCCAGAACGATGAGCGGGAGAAGTATTTCAAGAAATTCTCCTATTACATCAGTCTCAATGCCGTCTCCAACAAGACACTGATGTTTGCCAGCAACCAGTTGATGGACATGGAGAACAGCTCAGGCCACACATCCCTGATTGAGAGTGTCCTTGTGGAACGACAGCAGGACAGGCCATCCAGCCTGCTGAGCTACCAGCGGAAAGGGGCCCTGCTTGATTCGGTGGTCATCCTTGGTGGCCAAAAGGCCCAGGGCCAGTTCAATGATGGAGTGTTTGCCTATGTCATCCAGGAGAACCTGTGGTTGAAGCTCTCAGAGGTGCCCTATCAGGCAGCAGCACTCACTGCCACCTCTACTGTTTGCTACATCTACATGTCTGGTGGCACCAATGAGCAGATTACAGGGCTAAAGATGGCTTGGTGGTATGACATGGATGACAACTCCTGGACCAAGGTGCCTGACCTGCCACTTGGTCTTGTCTTCCACACCATGGTGACCTGTGGGGGGACAGTGTACTCAGTGGGTGGGAGCATTGCCCCAAGGCGGTATGTCTCTAACATCTGTTTTTATGATGAGCGCAAGGAGGCCTGGTGCCTGGCAGGGAAGATGAGCATCCCTATGGATGCCACAGCTGTGATCACCAAGGGTGACCAGAACCTGTACATGGTCACTGGGCGATGCTTGGTGAAGGGCACCATCTCCTGAGTCGCGGTAGTAGATTGCTTTGATACCAATACTGGGGAGGTGGTCCAGAGTATCATCTTCCCCATCAAGTTCAACCACCGGCCCCTGCTCTCTTTCAGTCAGGACAACATCCTCTGCATGCACAGCCACCATCAGAGCGTGGAAATCAACCTACAGAAAATCAAGGCCAACAAGAGGACCACATCAGTACCTCTCTTGCCCAAGAACTGCCCCCTGGATGTGTCCCATGCTATATCCTCCATTGGAGACAGCAGGGTGTTTGTAGGTGGGGGTGTCACAACAGCCAGTGATGTGCAGAAAAGGGACTGCACCATCAATCCAAACGCCTACTTGCTGGACCGAAAGACAGGCAACTGGAAGACCCTGGCCCCCCCACCAGAGCCACTGGACTGTCCCACCTGCTGTCTAGTCAAGCTACCTTGAAAGATTCTTCAAAGGAATTAAACCACTTTTAGTTGGGAGAATAATTAGATGCATTATTATCCACAATTTAATGAGAGAGAAAGAGAGGAAGATGGCCTGTGGGTTCCTTCTTAGTGTTCCTGTCTGTGTTTGGCCCTGAAGGTGGTGATCCTGGGCTAGGGCTGCTCCCACTGGAGGGATCCAAGCTGAGGTGGAATGGAGTTCCTGGTGGGGGGGACTGAGGCATCTCCCAGGCACTGGCCAGGGTGGTGTCTGGAAACCCCCTGTTCTGTTCCCTGCAGTCACCTGGCAGCATGTGGTAGACTGACAGGTGAAGCAGTTGCTTAGAGCTGTGAGGCCTCAGGCTCCTCCAACACTCACTTCCCTCTAGTCTGCCCGGGAAGGCAGGTGGGCCAAGGCCAGGTCTTGGAGAGGAGCCTCCTGGCTGGGAAGGGAGAAGGCGGTGTGGGCCAGGTTCGGGGATGAGGCAGAGGGAACCGGGGAGGCCAGGTGACTTGGTTGTTGTATTCGACCATGCAGCTGTGATGTGTTTGTGACTCATTTGTGGGGTACTTGGGGGGTTACTTAACACTTGTTTCCAGAGAGCAAGGTTCATGGAGAACTTTCTCCAGGAATGTGAGTCTGAGGGACTGGAGGTGATCAAGAGGTCATCAAGGGAGAGAAAAGAAACCTATGTCTCTATTGGAGAGCAGCTTGGGGATGAGGCGAAATGATGGGATAAGAGAGACAGGGTGGTGTAGTAGTTAGGGGTTGGATGCTGGGGACAGATGGCCTGGTCGAATACCAGTTCCACCACTTACTAGGTCATCCTGGGTGAGTTACTTACCATCTCTGTGCCCTAGTTTCCTTATCTGTCAAAGGTGGACAATAGGAGTCCCCATCATCATAGGGTGATGGGAAGTGTAAGTGAGTTAATACATGCATAATGCCGAGGACAGTCCCTGGCATATATTAAAGGGCTACAAGAGTACTTTTTTAGAAGGAAAAAAAGAGAGGTGAGGCAAGGGTCCAGGTTCTTGGGCCCTTAGATTAAGTGAGGTCCCATCAAATGCTCTTTGAGACCCCCTCCCTCAAAGCCTCAGTGAGCTTTCCTCAGTTCTAACTCCCCTTTCCCTTTCCGTCATGTGTGTACTCAGACGTAATCCTCAGCAATTTAGAACGAGCTGACCACGTCCTGCAACAGCTGTAGAATCCTCATTCATCCCGTCTCTCATTCATCCATGAATTTACTTTCTCCTCCAATGACCACTTCACACACACACCATCACTGAGCCCTCTCTGTGCAGGGCCCTGTTCCAGGTGCTGGGGCCACAGACATGACAGAGACAATTCATGTCCCTGGGAGGGAGTATCTGTGCCAGTGCCCTGCAACGGGAGTATTATGCAAGCCACCTGAGTAATTTAAATATTTCTAGTAGCCACATTAAAAAGGTATAAGGAAACAGATGAAATTAATTTTAATGATATAATTTATTTTACCCAATATTGTCAAAATATTATCATTTCAACAAATAATCAATTTAAATATTTATTTTACTTTTTTGAGGAAGATTAGCCCTGAGCCAACATCTGCCACCAATCCTCCTCTTTTTGCTGAGGAAGATTGGCCCTGAGCTAACATCTGTGCCCATCTTCCTCTATTTTATATGTGGTACGCCTGCCACAGCATGGCTTGATGAGTGGTGTGCGTGTCCGTGCCCGGGATCCAAACTGGCAAACCTGGGCTGCCGAAGCAGAGCACGTGAACCCAACCACTACGCCACCGGGCCAGCCCCATTTTAAACATTTATTGATGCGATATCTAACGTTCTTTTTTTCACACTGAGTCTTCAGAATCCAGTGTATGTATTATACACTTAGAGCACAGCTCAGTTTGGACTAGCCACAGGCACAAGGCCCCAGGAGGCTAGTGGCTCTTATCAGACAATGCCGTATACTGTACATATCCCCATGGTTCAAATCTGCTCCATCTCCTTCCTTTCCCCACTCCGTCCTCCTCCACCTGCTCAGCATCATCTTCCTGACCTCTGTTGGCTGGCCTCTCTCTTCAAAGCCTACCCTCTGCCCAGGCCTTACTTTCCTCCTTCCAGGCCAGGACCTTGGACTTCACAGCTGACCCTCTCTACCCTGGAACTTTTCCCACATTTCTCACTTCTCCAACCCTGGGCAGCCCCCTCCTCTGCTCACCTCTCTGCCATCCGCCAGCTGGAAGAGCAGGGTCTTACAGATCCACGCAGCTAAGCCCAGCTGCCCCTTCCCCACCCCACCAGGCTTAGCTGACCACTGAGTCACCTCTCACTGACTCCAGAGGCCACTCCCCACAGCTGATTCTCCAGCCCTCTCTGGGGTCCTGGGGCCCCGCTCTTCCCCTGTCTTCTTTCTCGGCCACTTACCTCTCATTCTGGCACCAGAGCTCGAGAGAAATAGAGTCAGATGATCTGAGCTCCATAAACAGTCCCGTGTCCACCAAAACTCTCCCCAGAGCTCCTGCTGTTGAGCACCTCGGAGGAAGAGGCGTCCTTCCGCGATTCAAAGCTCGTGCCTCCCCTGTGTCTTCATTGTGTCCCCTCGCAACTTCTCAGGCTCCTCGGTTCCCTCTCTCTCCACATCCCCTTCTTGATTCTTCTCTTCATCCCACACATATTCTCAAGTTTGCCCTATCCTGAAAGCAAACCCTCCTCAGCTCTGAGGTCTGCCTCTTGCTGTCTGCCCATCTCTTTCCTCAGTTGAGCTTCCTGAATGTTGTTTGTGCTCTCTGGCTCCGGATCAGTCTCTAACCCACTTAGCCTGGCTTCTGTTCCCACCATGCCACCCAGGTGTCTCCTGACGACACTGTCCTCTTTGTCCTTTGCTCTGCATTCTTTCTTTTCCTTGCAGTACTGGGCAGTATTGACCACTCCCCCACGCAGCAGAATCGCTAGGGCGCTTGGTAGAAGGAGATTGTTAGCATAGAGGGATGATAATCTGATATATTAACCAGCGTGGGCCTCCCTTCTTCCTTCCTGAGCTCTTCCCACATGAAAATTAGACCATGAGGCTGAAGCATTCATGGCTCATCGCTGGAGGAGGCCGGCACAGCTCAGTGTCAGAATCAGAGTCACATTCTTGGCATTTGCTGCTAGGGAAGCTTTGTCAATTCATAGCAGAGATTATGGTCTTGAAAGACGAGGCTTTTGAACTACAGCTCAGATCTGCAAACTGGGTGCCTGAAGGCCTTCCACGGGAAGTTCAGACGTGCATGGCTTTAAGGGAATCAGTTTCCAGATCCTCACGTTTTTTCCTAGAACTGATCCACCTGAGAATATGCCTAGAGATTTCATTCTAGTTCTCTTTCCCCACCTTCCCTTTCAAAATTACCTTTCAAGCACTTTACACACACACACAGAAATGTTTACCCATCCCACATCTTCCTGGATGCACTGCCCCAGGATGCCGCATGAGTGTAACCGTGTCAGTGAGGCGTCAGTGAAGCCTCCTTTCACCAACACACCAACATCCAAAGAAGAGTTTCTTGTATTTTTCTGTCTTATCAATGCAGTGTTTCTGTTAAGGTGTCAAGTCTGGTGTTAAAAACTAGGGTATTTTGGGGCTGGCCCCGTGGCCGAGTGGTTAAGTTGGCGCACTCCGCTGCAGGCGGCCCAGTGTTTCGTTGGTTCGAATCCTGGGCGCGGACATGGCACTGCTCATCAAACCACGCTGAGGCAGCGTCCCACATGCCGCAACTAGAAGGACCCACAACGAAGAATATACAACTGTGTACCGGGGGGCTTTGGAGAGAAAAAGGAAAAAAATAAAATCTTTAAAAAAAAACAAACAGAAAAAAAACTAGGGTATTTTGGTCCAAGTTGTGTTGGCCGAGTGGTTAAGTTCGCGTGCTCTGCTTTGGTGTCCCAGGGTTTCACCAGTTTGGATCCTGGGTGTGGACCTAGCACCGCTCATCAAGCCATGCTGAGGTGGCATCCCACATAGCAGAACTGCCAGGACCTACAACTAGAATATACAACTATGCACTGGGGGTGCTTTGGGGAGAAGAAGAAGAAAAAACAAAAGTAAGATTGGCTACAGATGTTAGCTCAGGGCCAATCTTTAAAAAGAAGAAAACAACTAGGGTATTTTGGTCCAAGGTGGGTTGTTCAGAAATGCTCAATAGCATGATGGAATGATGACACTTTTAAAAGCTTTCTTGAGATATAATTCACATACCATACAATTCACTCATTTAAAGTGTACAATTCAGTGGATTTTAGTATATTCACAGGGTTGTACAATCATTCCCACAATCAATTTTACAAAATTTTCTTTACCCAAAAAATGGAACCTTGTACCCCTTAGCTGTCACCCTCTAACCCCCTCATCTTCCCAGCCCTACACAGCCACTCATCTGTTCTCCATCTCTGGATTAGCCTATTCTACACATTTCATATAAATGCAATCATATAATATGTGTCCTTTTATGTGGCTTCCTTCACTTAGCATAATACTTTCAAGGTTTATCCATATTGTAGCATGTGCCAGTACTTCATTCATTTTTATGCCTGAATAATATTCCATAGTGTGGATATACCACATCTTAGTTATCAATTTGTCAGTTAGTTGATGAACATTTGGGCTGTTTCCTCTTCTTGGCTATTCTGAATAATGTTCTGTGAATATACATGTACAAGTTTTTGTGTTCACATGTGTTTTCATTTCTCTTGGCTAAATACGTAGGAATAGAATTGTTGGATCAAATGGTAACTCTATGTTTAATCATTTGAGGAACTGCCAGCCTGTTTTCCAAAGCAACTGCATCATTTTCATTCCCACCTGCAATATATGAGGTTCCAATTTCTCTGCATCTTCACCAACACTTCCTATTGTCTGCCTTTCCAAAGATAGTCATCCTAGTGGGAGCAAGTGGCATTTCACTGTGGTTTTGGTTTACATTTCCCTGATGGCTAGTGATGTGGAGCATCTTTTCATGAGCTTATTTTTGATGATGTTTATGTAATAACCTAGCCTCTTCCATGCTCAGTGGTTAT